TATTCCGCAGCCCAATGGTTTCAATTTGGACTTCACAAGCTTCAAAATCTCCCCACCCCCGACCTCATCCCAAGACTAACCCATCTCGTCCCTGCCTCCTTCACCTGTCCATCTTTTCTACCCGCTATCTGCTCCTCCCACCTCACTGACCAACTCCCACCCCCACTTCCTACCTACTAGCCTCATCCCCGCCTCCTTGACCTATCCGTCTTCGCTCCACCTATCTGCTCCTCTATCCACCTTCTATCATCGCCTCCCCCTCTCTCTATTTATTTCACAGTCCCCTTCCCCTCCCCCATTTCTGAAGAAGGGTACAGACCCAAAACATCAGCTTTCCTTGGACACTTCCAAGGGAGGCACCAGCAGTGGAGCATCTGCCAGTGGGACACCTTTCCAGTCACTGCGGATAATATCCAACTGTGGTCACAAAAAGATCCTGTCCTAGCAAAACTGAAATAGCTGATGGTAATGGGGGAAAACAGCAAGGCCATTGCAACCAGAATTGAAATCTTTCTGTACCCTGCAAGACCAGATCACCGTAGAGGATAGCATAATACTGTAGGGAGCAAGGGTGATTGTCCCGAGTAAAAGGTCACCGCCAGATACTGGCTGAATTCCACCAGGGTCTTTCCAAGATGAAGATGCAAGCATGAAGCTTTGTCTGGTGGCCCAAGTTAGATGCCAACATAGCTGCATTGATGGGGCAGTGCCCAGAGTGCCAACAAGGACAAAAATTGCCACCAGTAGCACCCCTACATTCATGGCAATGGCCAGGTAAACCTGGACTCGTTTGCATGTCAACTATGCCATTCCTTTCATGGGCTCAATTTTCCTGGTCATTGTGGATGCCCACTCAAAGTGTTCATTCAGCAAACTCAGGGATGACAATCGAGAAGCTGTGAGCATCGTTCACAATACACGGACTCCTGGAAGTATTGGTCACGGACAATGGGATATCATTTACCAGTAGGGAATTCAAATATTTCCTAAAGACCATTCAGCACATAAAGACAGCTCCATACCATCCGTCATCCAATGGTCTAGCGGAAGAACTGTCCAAACATTGAAGGCAGGCTTAAAGAAGCAGGCTACAGCATCAATTGATACCAAACTGTCCCTGTTCCTGTTCGATGATAGGACCACCCGTCACACAATCACAGGGATAGCTCCAGTAGGGTTGCTAATGGGGAGAAGACTCCACACCAGGTTAAACCTGATATTGCCAGATTTGGGAGGGGGAGATGAACTGGCAGCAGAAACACCAATGCCGGCCACGTACCTCCTCTGAGCGAAAGAAACAATTTAATTTAGGGGACGGGTGTGGTGCCGGAACCACGGGAATGGCCCTGTAAGGGTCCAAGGTGAGCTTGATGTGAGTTTAGATCCCATGACTTGCAAAGATTTGGTAGGTGATACAGTCCTGAACAAACATGTGAATCACCTGAAAGCTGTTACCTCACAAACGGGGCAGGAGCAAAACATGCCTGGCCCCTCAGAATGCCCCGAAGGCCCAACAGAAAACACAGATGCCCCCCCACCGCCAACTCCTATCCATCGTCTAGTGTTGAGGAAACCTTAGAGTCCGAAATGGATGCAGCCTCGATACTGCTGCCGCTGGAAGAAGTGGAAGAGACTCTTCCAAGATGTTCCAGATGTAAGAGACTGGCCACGGTCTGGTACAAGCTGCCTGTGTCTGAGTCCAAGTCAGAGGAACTGGAAGTGGGGCAAAATCGTTGCAAGAGAATCTAAAAGCGAAAGACCAGGCCTACATCCCCTGGACTTCTATGGGGAGGGATGTTGTGATTGGAACCAGGTGTACCTCATTGACTACGAGCTTCTTGATTGGGGTTGTTAACCTGGTCCATTCTGGAAACCTTTGGCTGACTAATATAACCAGGAGAACCCCCTCACTTTTCTTACCGACTCACTTTTTCTTCCCCTTCACTTTTCTTTCACGTAGGCTTGATACTGGTTCTTTTGGTCACAAGGGTGTTTTTCCTGGTGGTGGTAATGTTAGTAAAGTTATTTCCTCACTTGCTTTTTTTTACTGTGTCTCACACCTGCGCGCACACACACGTGAAAAAAATATACAACCAGGAGATTAGAATCTCTTTTGTTGAGAAAAAAAATTGGAAAAAAAGAAGAAAAATATACAACCAGGTGTTTTAGAATCTCCTCAGTTGCGGACTGTCTCCGAGCTGGCTAGCCACAGACAGTGTACTGTGCAATAGTAAATAAAGGGTAACTTGGTGATGGGACACTGGCCTCTGTGCAGTTTTTTCAGGGAGTCACCACCCTTTGGTGGGAGTGGAAATTTGAGGAGGGGTATTTCCTCGTAACTTAGATTAAAATGTCATCTTATCTGTTGTTTTGTTGCTCTACAATATAAATTCTGTTGGTTACAGCACCTGGTGATATTCCAGATATTATAATTCAAAGTCCATTATTTTTATAAGTCGCAATAACTTTAATGACAATGGACACTGAGATATTCTGCTGATAACATTACAGAGCAGAATTAGTGGAGCTATTTGTTAAAACAGATTGCAGCAGAAGCAGGGGTTAACTTTACATTTCAGCAATTATTCTGTAATGATAAATGGTTTAGGCAGAGGAACACAGGATCCAGTGTTCCAGTTTTCCTGTGATCCAGCTTTGCATCTTAGCTGGTTTTGGAAATGAAGAGGAAAAAAAAGTGCAATGTTTGTTCGTGTTTGCATCTGTTGGAATTAAGAGAACGGAGTGTGAGCTGTACTGAGCAGAGATGGCTGTACTGGAATGACGGGAGCACCAAGACTTGAGATGGCAAGATCAAGGAATGGCTATGAATATGGATAGGGGAGGTTATATGGAGAGAGATTAAAGAAAGATGGGAGTATGAGGAACCCACAGGAAAATAAACATATGAGATGGAGGCTGAAATTACTGAAGATGAGAAGTCACTTGGTGGAGAAGCTGAGGGAGGAAAACAATTAAAATAAAACTCAATGAAAAAAAAAATTAACTTGTCAGTTGGGTAGGAATAGAAAATAAGGATTTTAAACGAGGGGTTAGAATGAAGAGGTGCCGGAGAAGTAGGGGACCAAGGTGATAAGAGTTATTCACCAAAGTGAGCCAGGCTGGGAGACTTCACCAAGGTGTTTCACCCTTCAGCCTGTTTTCTATTAAAGCCATTCACGTGTCAAGTGAATTCATATTCTGGAGGAAATTGCGGTGAGGGACAACAACAGCTGATCCAATGGCAGAATTCACAGTGCTGGGATTAGGAGGGGTGAGTTGGGATGAAAAAGTTTCGCTTCTATTGTGCATGCTGGGTGGGAAAGTTGGCAAGAGAGTAGAAGATAAATTGAGGTTGCTGCTAGTAATGGGGAAGGAATAAATGCCTCAATAGGCAGTTTGGAGAATATAAACAGACATATAGAGGGAGGCTGCAGACTTTTATAACAGAGAATTGAACATTGAATGGTAAAAAGAAAGCAGTAGAGTGAAATAGTGCTGAAGGATTGAGATAGGATTTGAGAGGGCAGTTTACTGGAGAAGGGAGAAGTTTAAGATGTTTCATCTACAGGAGAAAGCGCAGTCTCCTAAGCATAACGAGAAAAAGAACAGGCAGGAAACGAGGAAGAGAAAATTAGCAGTAGAAGCAATAGGCTTGCTGGTGGGACATCAGCCAAAATGGCCATACTAACACTGACAAAACTCCTGTTTTGTAACAAATTTAGGATATGTATGCCCAGGAAAGAAAGGGAAATTGGCACCAATAAGGAATTCAGGCTTAAAGTCAGGGGTCCTGAGATAAAGCAAACATAGGTATGATGGAGTAAGCATGAAGAGTAGCCAAACTAACATCCAATTTTAGGTCTGGTGTGGATGCTGAGTGAACTAGAAGCTATTTGAAAAGTACAGTATCAAAGGATACATTGCTGGGGGTATTTTCTAGGGGCCTGAGGCTAAGCTGTATACAAAATCAATTCCAGGACAGAACAGCAGCAGTGTAATTGAAGGTCATCATAAGATTCAGAGATAGTGGACAGAGGAGGTTTACATCAGGACCTGAAAAATCAGTCAGGCCAGCAGCAATAGCTGCGGACGCGAATGGACTATAACTTAGTCAAAGTTACAACAAAATTTAAACAACTGTAAAGTAGATCAACGTTTCAGCAACTGGACTGCATAAAGTAAAAAAGTGATTCATAGACTATTTAGTTCCTCCACAACAAAAACAGAAGTTGCTGGAAAGGCTCAGCATATCTGGCAGCATCTGTGCAGAAAAAAAAAATCCGTTTCGGGTCCGGTGACCCTTCCTCAGAACTGATAATGGCTGACCTGTGATCTAATTCTATTTATTAATTTTTATCTATATACCTTAACATCTTTGCTAAAGATTAAAAATCAGTTGTAAAATTAATTTAAGATTATTGATTATTAATGGTTATTTGTGAACCAGAGTTCCAAACTGTAACACCCTTTTTTTCTTAATTTCATTTCTGAAAGACTCAAATCAAAAAAGCAAAGTACTATAGCTGCTGGAAATCTTAAATAGAAACAGAAAATTCTGAAGTCACTCAGCAAGTGGGGCAATAATTGTAGAGAGAAACGCAGCTAATAGTTGCAGAGTTAAACTCCATTTCTCTCTGCACAGGTGCTGCTCGACCAAATGAGTATTTTCAGTTTGTGTTTCTAATTTTTATACTCTGACCCCTAAATCCGACCAATGTACTGTGCACATTACAGAGATAAGTGTTTAGATAATTGAAGGGATGGTATACATGAAAGAAGTAGTGTTACTGAATACTGTATTGCCAAATGCTGTAGTTTGATTGGCTCTGCTCTAGGCCGCCTCCTTTTGCTTCTCCTGGTTCTTCGGTCTGGTTTTGTTCTGATTGTGAAGACATTCACTATTTCGAGTTCTGGCTCCAAATGCAGCATTTCGTCCCTTTCCAGCGCGCTGTCCAACACCAGGCTCGACCTGCCGGACTCGGAGAGCTCTGCTGCCCGCAATGTCACGCCCAGTTGCCACTGTTCAGGAACAGAGACGCCAACGTCGATTGGTGGACAACCTAAATGAGGTTCCTGTTATGGTGATAAATACTGGTGGGACTATGACCATGGAATACCAAGATAATGGTGAGTATGAAGACACACCCAGAACAGGAACATATCAGCCTTGAGATGTTTATCCCTAAAACGTCCTTAATTCCATATTCTACTCGAAATCCAAAGTGAATCTGGGATTTGATGGCATTTTTAATGAGTTTTTAATTGAGGCAGTGGGTAATTCAGTGGTCACTCGTTGTAATTGGTAGACACCTGTTACTTAAAGGTAAAGACTAAACTAAAGGGTAGAAAGAGGTGACTTTTTCACAATTCCTTCAGTTTCTTATTGATGAGTTCACATTGCTGTCAGCCTCAGAATGATGGGAAGATCGTCAGTGTGGGTAGCAATTCAATTAGACATATATCTCCCGATTGAGTTAATAGCTCGGCTTTTAGAGTTTGAGGAGATAAGACATGTTGATTCGTCAAACTTGCTCAGGTACCCTAAACATACTTTACTTGGTTATCTCTTCAACTAGTTTTCTTTAACGCTTATCCTTTATTAAATGAGAGAGAGAGAGACTGAACACTGCTTCTTTGCCACCTTCTGCACAGCTGAACAATTTTCAGGTATGTGGCTAAATAGAAACCAGAAGTACAGAGGCTGTTGCTAACAAAATGGCACATATCCAGTACTGGTTTTCCAAACCTGTTTGCCCAGCCAATGATGTAATAAAGCTCCACTCTTAAATCTTTGTAAAAGCTTTTCTGTCAGTGACTTGGCTTTTTAAAAACAGCGATCCCCAGTTCTTTTGGCCTTTTGACTTTCTCGTTCCACGAAGTCACATGGTAAACTGCAATTCAGAAATTGTCCAAACCGCCTAACTTTTCCAAGTCTGGTAATCATGAATATACATGTATTCCTTACATGGTGCAAAAATTTATAAGAATTGTTTCAAGACTAAAGATATTAGTAATTTCAATAAATTGGAGAAACTGGGTTTCTTCTCATTAATGAAGAGAGATTCAGAATGTTAATGAATGTTTGATGATATTAAAGATACATAAGTGATGAGCATTATTTGAATAAGGAATGGCAACATGTACATAGAGAGTCAGAAGGGGTCTTGTGGTAGAATGGTTGTGTCCCTACCTCTGGAACCATAGGTTTACACTCAAGTTCCACCTGAGGATTTGATGACCGCAGAGGTGTGTCACACATTCAAACAGGTTGATTAAAATAATCTTTTCAAAAGAAAGTCAGTTGAAACACTTTGTTCGTGGATGGGAAGTAGAGATCTGTAATGCTGCATCCTGTGAAGAAGCCTACTAACAAGGCAAAGGTTTGTACTTCATCTTTTGGCTTGGATCTATTTAACATAGTAGCAGAGAATGATATCTAAAAGTGAAGAAACTGAGAAGAATTTTTTTTCAGACAGAAGATTGTAATCAGACTTACTTATGAGATAAATGGTTGAAAGCACATGTAAAGTGTAAGAGTATGATTTTTGACCAATGTCCTGTAAGTCTGAACCCTATGACCAATGGAAAAGCAAAGTAGATTTATGGATGTGGATTATGTCCTCACTGAAGGAAAAAAGATGGACTTGGCAATGTTATTTCCTAGCTAGTGCAGGATGAGGTATAAAGTATCTATGAAACTAAATGCTCATCAGTTGATCACTGTTTTCCTTTGTGGACAGATTTCAAACTGCTCTGTTTTCTTTGCAGTCTCTTTCTCTCTTCTCCTCCCTTACAACCTACCACATCTTCTCAGCTGTATTGAAGCTTTCCTCTTTCCGACCACCACCCTATAGCTTCCCTCTGTCTGCCACATCCCCTTGTATTCTGCCTCCTTTTCTCTCCCAGCCCTCAGGAAGCCTCATTCTTGCAAAACCACTGACTCTACACCCAACATGTTGCAGACCTCTGTTTCCCAAGGCTTGCCACACCCCCCACACCCCTTTGTCTGCATTTCTTTGTCTGCACTGGCCCACTTACAATCTCATCCCTATCCTGTTTGAGGTCTGCATTTTCCCCTAGTCATTTGAAGAACTCCATATCTCCCGAGCCCCATTGCAGACCTCTTATGCCTGCACCCCAATTGACATGTGACATCTCCTCCCCAGTCACTTTGCAGCACCATTGTATTCCCTCTAAGCCTGGTTGTGGCCCACTTCTCTCTCCCAACCCCCATTTCTATTCTCTCTCTCTTAAACCTTTGCATCCGCCTGAACCGCTGGCTTTTTGCAGCCTTCCTTTACCCTTAACTTCCACAGAGGCAAAATGGTAGCCCTACATCAACCCCTTGTGGCATAGGCAAAATGGCTGCTCCCATCTGTGGCAAGGGGCATCAGCTTTTACAATTTCCATCAATAACATAGATAAGGGAAGAGAAAGCATGGTACCTAAATCTGCAGATGACATAAAGACATCAGCGGCGGGAGTCCGGGAGGAAGCGCGAGGGCAGCCTGGGAAGGTGAGCTTTTCGGTTATAAAAGTCTTACCTCGCGTGACTCCATTTTTGGAGTAAGTGAGGTAATATATTTGGGTGGTTGCTTTACCCGAAACACTACCTAGGTAGTGTCTCCCACCCATCCTCCTCCTCTAACCAAAAAAAAAGGTTCTGAGCGCTGATTTGGTAAGGCTACTAGTATTTTTTTTAATTTGTCAGTTTGGGAATTCAGAACAGTGGGAATGGATGTTAGGGCAGTTGTATGCTCCTCCTGTAGAATGTGGGAGGTAAGGGTCACCACTAGTGTCCCCACTGACTTCATCTGCGGGAAGTGCACCCAACTCCAGCTCCTCGGAAACCGTGTTAGGGAACTGGAGCTGGAGCTGGATGAACTTCGGATCATTCGGGAGGCTGAAGGGGTAATTGAGAGGAGTTACGGGGAGGTAGTCACACCTCAGGTACAGGAAAAAAGTAGATGGGTTACAGTCAGGGGACGGAAAGGGAACAGGCAGACAGTGCAGGGATCCCCTGTGGCCATTCCCCTCAAAAACAAGTATACCGTTTTGGATACTGTTGGGCGGGACGACTTACCAGGGGTAAGCCATGGGGTACAGGTCTCTGGCACAGACTCTGTCCCTGTTGCTCAGAAGGGAAGGGGGGAGAGGAGGAGAGCATTAGTCATTGGGGACTCCATAGTTAGGGGGACAGATAGGAGATTCTGTGGGAACGAGAGAGACTCGCGGTTGGTGTGTTGCCTCCCAGGTGCCAGGGTCCGTGATGTCTCGGATCGTGTTTTCGGGAGGGGGAGCAGCCCCAAGTCGTGGTCCACATAGGCACCAACGACATAGGTAGGAAAAGGGATGGGGACGTAAGGCAGAAATTCAAGGAGCTAGGGTGGAAGCTTAGAGATAGAACAAACAGAGTTGTTATCTCTGGTTTGTTACCCGTGCCACGTGCTAGCGAGGCGAGGAATAGGGAGAGAGAGCAGTTGAACACGTGGCTACAGGGATGGTGCAGGAGCGAGGGATTCAGATACCTGGATAATTGGGGCTCATTCTGGGGTAGGTGGGACCTCTACAAATGGGATGGTCTACACCTGAACCAGAGGGGTACCAATATCCTGGGGGGGAAATTTGCTAATGCTCTTCGGGAGGGTTTAAACTAATTCAACAGGGGGGTGGGAACCTGAATTGTAGCTCCAGTGTACAGGAGGTTGAGAGTAGTGAGGTCATAAATAAGGTTTCAAGGTCGCAGGAGTGTACCGGCAGGCAGGAAGGTGGTTTGAAGTGTGTCTACTTCAATGCCAGGAGCATCCGGAATAAGGTGGGTGAACTTGCAGCATGGGTTGGTACCTGGGACTTCGATGTTGTGGCCATTTCAGAGACATGGATAGAGCAGGGACAGGAATGGTTCTTGCAGGTTCCAGGGTTTAGATGTTTCAGTAAGATCAGGGAAGGTGGTAAAAGAGGGGGAAGTGTGGCATTGTTAGTCAAGGACAGTATTACGGTGGCAGAAAGGACGTTTGATGACAACTCGTCTACTGAGGTAGTATGGGCTGAGGTTAGAACCAGGAAAGGAGAGGTCACCCTGTTGGGAGTTTTCTATAGGCCTCTGAAAAGTTCCAGAGATGTAGAGTAAAAGATTGCAAAGATGATTCTGGATAGGAGCGAAAGTAACAGGGTAGTTGTTATGGGGGACTTTAACTTTCCAAATATTGACTGGAAACGCTATAGTTCGAGTACTTCAGATGGGTCAGTTTTTGTCCAATGTGTGCAGGAGGGTTTCCTGACACAGTATGTAGATAGGCCAACAAGAGGCGAGGCCACATTGGATTTGGTACTGGGTAATGAACCAGGCCAGGTGTTAGATTTGGAGGTAGGAGAGCACTTTGGTGATAGTGACCACAATTCGGTTACGTTTACTTTAGCGATGGAAAGGGATCGGTATATAAAGCAGGGCAAGAGTTATAGCTGGGGGAAAGGCAATTATGAGGCGATGAGGCAAGATTTAGGATGCATAGGATGGAGAAGGAAACTGCAGGGGCTGGGCACAATTGAAATGTGGAGCTTGTTCAAGGAACAGCTACTGCGTGTCCTTGAGAGGTATGTACCTGTCAGGCAGGGAGGAAGTGGTCGAGCGAGGGAACCGTGGTTTACTAAAGAAGTTGAATCTCTTGTCAAGAGGAGGAAGGAGGCTTATGTAGAGATGAGGCGTGAAGGCTCAGTGAGGGCGCTTGAGAGTTACAAATTAGCCAGGAAGGACCTAAAGAGAGAGCTAAGAAGAGCCAGGAGGGGACATGAGAAGTCTTTAGCAGGTAGGATCAAGGAAAACCCTAAAGCTTTCTATAGGTATGTCAGGAATAAAAGAATGACTAGAGTAAGATTGGGGCCGGTCAAGGACAGTAGTGGGAAGTTGTGCGTGGAGTCCGAAGAGATAGGAGAGGTGCTAAATGAATATTTTTCGTCAGTATTCACGCAGGAAAAAGACAATGTAGTCGAGGAGAATACTGAGATACAGTCTATTAGACTAGACGGGATTGAGGTTCATAAGGAGGAGGTGTTAGCAATTCTGGAAGGTGTGAAAATAGATAAGTCCCCTGGGCCGGATCGGATTTATCCTAGGATTCTCTGGGAAGCTAGAGAGGAGATTGCAGAGCCTTTGGCTTTGATCTTTATGTCGTCATTGTCTTCAGGAATAGTGCCAGAAGACTGGAGACTAGCAAATGTTGTCCCCTTGTTCAAGAAGGGGAGTAGAGACAACCCTGGTAATTATAGACCAGTGAGCCTTACTTCGGTTGTGGGTAAAGTGTTGGAAAGGATTATAAGAGATAGGATTTATAATCATCTAGAAAGGAATAATTTGATTAGGGATAGTCAACACGGTTTTGTGAAGGGTAGGTCGTGCCTCACAAACCTTATTGAGTTCTTCGAGAAGGTGACCAAACAGGTGGATGAGGGTAAAGCGGTTGATGTGGTGTATTTGGATTTCAGTAAAGCGTTTGATAAGGTTCCCCATGGTAGGCTATTGCAGAAAATACGGAGGCATGGGATTGAGGGTGATTTAGCGGTTTGGATCAGAAATTGGCTAGCTGTAAGAAGACAGAGGGTGGTGGTTGATGGGAAATGTTCATCCTGGAGTTCAGTTACTAGTGGTGTACCTCAAGGATCTGTTTTGG